TTTCGCCATTTCATCGCCTTTTTCCGGCACAGCTAATCAAGCTAAGTGTGACTGCATTTCAGTCATTTTATGCGTATTTAGCTGTGAATTCTGATTATGAGCACTTAAAGGCAGAGTCTGAGTCAATCAGAGGACTGTTTGAGACACGATGGAAACTTTTATACCGAACACGTTGCTCTGGTTTTTAAATGGAGATTTAAACTGGGCATTTAAAATGGAGGTAAACAGGATCTGATCGGTGGTTCTCTGAACTGGATTACTGACTGGATCATGGCTGAAATCCCCACAGAGTCACTCTGGACACACAGGGTATCTCCTGTTTTTAAGCTGTGGTCAAACCTTAATTATCTTGTTCCCACACCTTACTTAGTCGTGGGAATGCATTAGGATCTCATTCCCACACAATATTTTCATTTATGCAGGATGTCATCAGTGGGGCTCCATACAAAGACCTGATTTAAGAAACAAATCCGATTTGCCTGCAGTCTGACCACAGCTACAATACCCAGGCTGAAGGAATCAAAACCAGAGTGAACAGTTAGAAACCAAACAAGAGCAATGGCTTAGAACTCAGGTGGGACATCATAGAGTGTGTGGTCCAAATAGTCCAAAGTACATGTTACTGAAGATCATCACACAATAAAGCTGCAAAGCTTACAATATATCCTTGAAGTGAACACAAGAAGACTGGCTCTACAGTAGAAGACAACATACACTGAAACAATTATCTCTTATTTACATACTGATTAACTGTGTTCAGATTAACCCTAAGAAACCTAAAGGGACTTATTGGGGTATTTTTTGGATCAATTACAATTACAATTGGACTTATAAAGTATTTACATGAGACAGTCACACATGCCATATGTTGTTATTTTCAGGAGACCCTGGGCTACTCAGATATGCCATTGTTTGACATGTAAATTTGACATCTTTATGAATTTGGGTCATTTCTGACCAAAAAGTTACCTAGCGCCAGCAGAATTTTGTGTTTTGTTTAATTAAAGAGATCTTGAAAACAAGTGAAGTAGTAGTTATCGTTTCAGAAATAGTCAGTCTGGAGTGTCTGTGAGCTAAAAGTGCAATCATTTTAATGCTGATTCATTCTGTTGGTTATTATGAGTAAAAATAAACAATTAGCATAATTAGCATAAGGCGGACATGTTTTTTTATTGATATTCTGTCCCTCTTGGATTCATGCTGAGTGCTAAAACTCTGATACACAGCAAGACAGGCTTTATTTTTAATTACTAATTGAGTTGCATATTTAATATCATATATATTTAATACTCAAATTCAATGCAGACTGAAAGCCCTTTGTTTATAATATGAAGGCCAAAAGCAGAGATGTAGTATAACAGCAGCGAGTGGGGTTTGGATGATTTTGGAGCTGGACTGCTGGCTAATTGATGGTCACAGGTGAATGAAATCACTCTGGATGGTGAGGCAGAGTCTGATGAGTGATCTGATGTGTGAATCGTGTTGTTGTTTTAACCCTTTGTTGGAATATGAAGGGCAAACAGCAGAGCAATAAAATCAGCATTTTCCAAGCCAAATTACTCACTGATGCTGATGTCACAGCTCAATGACACACTTGCTAGTTAGGGGCGGGTCTGTTGACTGTCCTGATATGTGGATCACGTTTGTATCTTAAACTGTTCTGAAGTTATGAAGGCCAGAAGTGACGCAAATTAAGGGTTAAACGTGTATAATATCTGAGAACACGGTCCAATTATGTGTCACTTTGGTTTAGCGTTCATTTGGTAACACAGTCCAAAATATCAGAGATCAATAGTGTTTTTGTCTTAATAAAAAGGTTCTGTTAGAGAAAAATGTTAGTCATGTTCAACAGGCGTGATGATTAGTGGTATCAAGTTGTTACCTCCATCATTGTTACAGGGGCAAAAGTATGGATAGAGTTTCCCAGTGAAAGACTGACGAGTGAAAGAGTAGATATGAGACCCGGCCTCAACATCATAGAAGGAGACCAGACCCTCCTCATAATCCACAAACACCCCCACCTTCTGGAGAGCCTGTTTCATGGAGTGGGTGGCAGAGAGAGTTTCATATTCATTTCTCTGCCACACAGTCCAGTATCCATTCCCAGGCCTAGGTATAATATCTCCCTTCCTGTTACTGGACTCTCTGGCCACTCCTAATTCCCACTCAGTCTTCCCACTGACCTGAACCTCATAGTAAAATCTCCCTGAGGAGAACCCCTCCTTTCCTAGAACACAGAGACACTGATCAAACCTCTCTGGGTTTTCAGGGAGATTCTGTTCTGTGTCTCCACATGTGATCCGTTTCCCATCATCAGACAGAACGAGAGCAGGATGAGCTGAATCAGAATCCAGAGTCACATCAACTGAGAGAGAAACACACCATTTTAACCCATTATAACAGAAGGTAATGGTGAAGAAACACACAGTGATGTGATCAGTAAAAGCCCACAAACCTGCATATTGCTGAATCCTCTTGAATTCTGTTTGGGAAACAATAACGACAATATTATTTGCTAGTAGAAAACAGTTTTCCTGTGTTCAATGCCTGATTTGCATGAACTACATCACTGTGATCTACACTCTCAAATGGGCCAAGTTTTTAATGGCCTTAGCTTAAATTATTAACAAATAGATGCAGTGAGTTAGTGTGCGAGATCACACATTTCTCAAACATGTCTTTAAATGTTAAAAGTCTTGTGCGTAAACTTGAGACAGTCTTTTATAGAAAGAAGAGTCAGTATTTTTCCACACAGCATTGATGGCTTCAAACAGCTGACCACTCTGACCATCAGTAAAACAGTAGTATTTGGTTTCTCTTTTTTTTTACCCTGTTCTTCAGTGGTCAGGGCCCCCCATGGACCCTCACAGAGCAGGTGCTGAGAATGATCCACCACCCAAATAGTACCTGCTCTGTGAGGGTCCATGGGGGTCCTGACCACTGAAGAACAGGGTAAAAGGGGGCTAACGACGTATGCAGAGAAACAGATGGACTACAGTCTGTAACTGTAGAACTACAAGTGCATCTTTAAACCTTTACACGGCACTGCAGTAGAAACCGGCATGCTTCTTTGATGGACATCACCATATAGGCGCAGGGATACTTTGACAGCGTTGTCAATAAATACTGTTCATCTGAAAGATGCAGCACTGAAATTGAAAATGCACTATGCAAAGCGGAAGCCATATGTTAACAATATTGTGAAACGCCACCAATTTCTCTGGGCTCAAGCTCATCTGAAATGGGCTGGTGTACAGTGGAAATAATAGACATTGTGTTCTCTGGGCCAAAGAAGAAAAGAACCCGGACTGTTACCAGTGTAACGTTGGTAACAGAGAAAATTGTGCTAAGTAATATTTTATTTCTAGTTAATAATTAATGATATTCCTGAGATTGGTATGATTGTACAATGTCTGTAAAACAAGAAATGACTCCATGAGCAGGCTGAAAACAGAAACACAGACTGCTCACTTTAAGTAAGGTTCAAAGCAAATAAAGCTTACATAACTGTCATTTCAGTGTCATGGCATTGCCATAGGAATTCATATAAAACCAGACAAAACTCTGGCATTGCAGAGTATCAGTACAAAAAAGATGAAAGTGTTACACAATACTACTACGCTACTGGCTCGTGCAGCCGTGGGAGTGTGGAAGGCGTGGCCATTCAGAGCGGCCACACACGGAGGCTCTCAGTAGGTGCTGTGCTCCTCATAAGGAGAGCCTTAAATGTTTTTAATGTTGCTGTTGCTGGGTTCATGTATGTGTAACTGAGCAGCATTCTGTGCTGGGCTGTGGGGTTAGTTAGTGTGGGTTTGACCATCATAAATGGACAATGCGTGGCTAGAAATGACCTGCCTGCTATTTCGGGGCGTTCAGGAGCACTGAACAAGGGTTCTCCGTTGCTTGTTCAATAAAAGAGCATTCGCCTTTACAGTGCAACGTTTCCCGCGTCTTCTTCGCTGACACCACAATATTAAATAATAAGGCTTATGACATCCAGAGATCTATCACCTTAGAAATGTTATTACAAATATATAAAAAAAAATAAATTAAAGTGCTGAAGATATAAGACAATTCAAGAAATGAAAGAAAGTGCCCAGATAAAGCGCAGTGCTAAACAAAGGCAAAGAAAACTTAAAGGAGCATATCTGACCTCATCTGGGAGTTTGTTTCAGCAGTTGGCAGCATAATGATTGAGTTCTGCCTCACCCTGTTTGGTTCTGATTCTGGGTACCACTAACTGACCGGTCAGAAGTGACTGGAGAGGCCTATTGGGTTTGAATACTTCAAGCAGATCAGCAATTACTGTGGTTCAAGGCCATTCAGAGAGTTACATACGATAGCAACTGGATTTTGAATAAGCTGTAGCTGCCTAACTGTGGTCTTGGGAAGGCCAGTAGAAAGACCATTGCAGTAATCCAGCCTGCTGGACACGACCTTACATTACACAACCTAATGTCAGCAAAAATGTGTCACTTGACCTAGGTATGTCATCCTCACAGCAAATTTACTAATGCAGCCTTAATGACAGCTGAATTAGCTAGATGTTTATTAGGTTTAGCAGTCATGAAAGGCTTATGTAAGTGTGACATAACCCTATGAACACAATCTTTCAGTAAAGTTTTACCAAAATACCAGTTCTTGTTTTAGGCTCTAACTTTCTGACATTACATTTCCTTTTCTTAGAAGAATGTAAGTACTTACTGATCTCAGGAAGCTTCTTCATCTCCTTACTGAGTTCTGCCCGAAGCCGAGACAGAGCTCTCCTCAGAGTCTCCACCCTCAGATGAGTGTTGATCCTGACGTCAGGCCAGTTCTTGGTGTGTGGACGGCTGCAGAGGGACGGGTAAACCTACAGTCCAGCAGGAGAGAGGAGAAACCCCTCAGCATGGGGAGTGCTGTCCTGTGATGGACTGCATTACTATGGAGAAACAGAAGGACTCTGACCTGTAGGAGGTGGAGGTGGTCCTCAGTGTGGGAGAGCTGCTCTATAGGAACTCCTCTATAGGAACAGTGCTGTGAGTCTTGTGGTCTCCTTCAGTGCAGAACCGACACACACATGTCTGGTCATTTCTACAGAACAGCTCCAGGGGTCTCTCATGTTTCTGGCAGATGTAGTCCTCCAGGTTCTCCACAGGGTCCATCAGTTTGTGGCTTTTAAAGGCAGAAACTCTCTGATGAGGTTCCAGGTGAGTCTTGCAGTAAGAGGCCTTGCAGATCAGACAGGACTTCAGAGCTGGACTTTTCTTTCCACTGAGGATTTCATGGAGCACCAGAAAGCCAGGACGTGGGCCTCTGCTGGATTTCTCCTGAACTGACTTCTTGAACTGAGCAGCCAGTCCAGAGATGAACGTGTTCACATACAGATCAGGCCTTCTGGAGAATTCTGTCTTACAAACTGGACACTGGCAGCGTGAACTGCTGTCCCAGCACTCTTTGAGACAGACCATGCAGAAGTTGTGTCTACATGGAGTCGTGACTGGATCAGTGAACACATCCAGACAGATGGAGCACTGGAGCTGATCTTCAGACAGGAGACTGCTGGAGGAAGCCATGACTGATGAAGACGGAGAGATATCATTAAGATGACTGACATCAGATAGAATGTTCCACACTTTTCATAAACTGATCACACTGTATGTTTTTTTATTACTGAACGACATTGAAAAAGGCAGATTCATCCTCATTCACCTGACTAAGCAGCTTCACACTGCATCTGTTTAATGTGCTCTAAAACCTGCTGTGATCTCTAACTGCTGGTAAGACTGTAACTAAAAAGAACTACTTAGTACTTGAAACGATAAATAAATCTTACAGGTGACAGAGCTGGTTTATAAAAGTAGAAGAAGCTATAAATGTGCTAAACAGCAAAAAAATAGTCTCATCAGCTGCATAACAAAACAATACAAATTCATTTAAGAGATACATGACAGGTTCACCTCTCTGGCCCCCTTTTCCCCCCATTTCCTTTAGATTTTACCTGCAGTGTAAGTTCCTTTAAGGATGTCTGGAGAAGCTTCACACTGAGATTCTATTACTGGAACAGCCTTTGCCTTGACTTTCGTTTCTCCACCGTGACTTCGTGAGGCCAAGCCCACTACATCACTTGCAAGTTTTGGCCACCAGGTGGGGGAAATGTCCATCTTTTTCTCAACATATCCAAAACAGAGAACAGCATACACTCATTTTATATGGTACACCAGCCTTGTATCTATTCTCATTGTCCATTTTATCAGCTCCACTGACCACATAGGAGCACTTTGTAGTTCTACAGTTACAGACTGTAGTCCATCTGTTTCTCTGCATACTTTGTCACCCTGTTCTTCAACTGTTCTTGAATGGTCGGGACCTCCACAGGACCCCCACAGAGCAGGTATTACCAGCACTGCAGTAACACTGATGTGGTGGTGGTGTGTTAGTGTGTGCTGTACTGGTATGAGTGGATCAGACACAGCAGTGCTGCTGGAGTTTTTAAACACTGTGTCCACTCACTGTCCACTCTATTAGACACTCCTACCTTGTCAGTTCACCTTGTAGATGTAAAGTCAGAGACGATAGCTCATCTGCTGCTGCACAGTTTGTGTTGGTCATCCTCTAGTCCTTCATCAGTGGTCACAGTGGTCACAGTCCAGCAGTGACACTGAGGTGTTTAAAACCTCCAGTAACATTTTGTGTGTATATATATATATATACACAAAGTTTTGTAGTTTTAATCGTGGTTTATTCTATGGTTTGATATTGAGAAAAAAATGATTAGCATAAGGCTGATATTTTATCCATGCTGAGTGCTAAAACTTTGTTACTCAGCAAAGCAGGCCTTGGAATATTTTGTTCAGGGAAAGAGAAGTACTTTTAAAATAAAATAAAGTATTATTCAGATTCACATAGATATTTATTATCAGCTGTTTTTAATACTTGAAATCAATTGAATGTGAAAGATACAACTGATAGTTATTTATTATAAGTTAATGTTATTGTTAAGAATGAGTCTGATGCACCTTTTGACTGTACCTAGCAGAAGCAGATAAGAGTTCACAGCCCCACTGAACAGAGATAGGTCCATACCTTTATTTCTGAGAGTGTATGCGATTTTTATGGAGAATTAAAATAGAGATATCATTTCAGGATATGGATTTTTGGTTGTGGATTACTTGCTGATACTTTTCTGTATGTCAGTGAAACCATGCTGGCTAGAGAGGGTGAGTCCTGCTGGTTGTCCTTATCGTTGTATTATGGTTTTTGAATTATGAAGCCTAAAACTAGAGATATAATATCACAAAATTGGATGGATTTTGGGTCAGTTTTCAAGATAGACTACTTGTTTATGCTTGGTCACAGGACAGGGCAAGCTCTGCTGATTGTTGTGATATGTGTATCTTGTCTACAAAATACACCATTCCAAAGTTCGGAAGGCTTGAAGGCAATTATGCTCATGTGGAATTCGGGTTCAAAGAGTTAACATCAGCATAAGCAACAGAGGAATCAACTGATCCCATTTTGATTTACATTAACCAGGACCAATTCTGTGAGACAAAACATCACAGGAGTCACCAATCCTGGTCCTGGATATCTATCAGTCTGGAGTGTTCAGAACTCACCTGGCTCTAATATTCAGATTTCTCTGAAGAACTTCATTATCTGATCAGGTGTTACATTAGTGTTGGTGATAAACTCTGTAGGATGGCTCCCGGACCAGGATTTGACATCCATGCTCAAGGCTTTCGGGAAGTTTTAGATACATCGTTGACTGTTCGTATGAGCGGAAGTCTAATAAGTAGGTTGTTTGAAATGGAAAACAGGGGCAGCAGCTCTATACCTGAGCTCACTACTACAACACAATTTCCAAAAAAATTGGGACGGTGTGCAAGATGTAAATAAAAACAAAATGCAATGATGTATAAATCATTTAAACCCTCTATTTAATTGAAAATAGTACAAAGACAACTTATCAAATGTTGAAACTGAGAAATTTTATTGTTTTTTGAAAAATATCTGCCCGTTTTGAATTTGATGCCAGCAACACGTTCCAAAAAAGTTGAGACGGGGGCAACAGAAGGCTGGTAAAGTTGTGTAATGCTAAAAAAACACCTGGTGGTTAACTGGCAACAGGTCAGTAACATGATTAGTTATAAAATAGCATCTCACAGAGGCTGAGACTTTCAGAGGTAAAAATGTGGAGGGGTTCACCACTTTGTGAAAGACTGCACCATCAAATAGTGCAACAAATCAAGAATAACGTTTCTCAACATAAAATAGCAAAGAACCTTTGCTTTTCATCATCTACAGTATATAATATCATTAAAAGATTCAGAGCCTCTGGAAAAATCTCTGTATGCAAGGGACGAGGCCAAAAACCAGTATTTGCTGGCCGTGATCTTTGGGCCCTCAGGCAGCACTGCATTAAAAACAGACATGATTCTGTAGTGGAAATCACTGCATGGGCTCAGAAACTCTTCTGAAAAACACTGTCTGTGAAAACAGTTCATCACTGCATCCATAAATGCAAGTTAAAACTCTAAAATGCAAAGAAGAAACCACATATAAACAGGATCCAGAAATGCTGCCACCTTCTCTGGGCCCGAGCTCATTTAAAATGGACTGAGGGGAAGTGGAAAAGTGTCCTGTGGTCCAATGAATGAAAATTAGAAATTCTTTTTGGAAATCATGGACACTGTGTCCTCCGAGCTTGTTATCAGTGCACAGTTCAAAAGCCAGTATTCATGATGGTATTGGGGTGCATTAGTGCACATGGCATGGGTGATGTGCACATCTGTGAAGGCACCATTAATGCTGAATGATATAATGTTTTGGCAACATGTGCTGCCATCTAGACAACGTCTTTTTCAGGGAAGGCCTTGATTATTTCAGCAAGACAATGTCAAACCACATTCTGCATGTATTACGACAGCATTGCTCCACATTAAAAGAGTCTGGGTGCTAAACTGGCCTGCCTGCAGTCCAGACCTGTCACCACTGATAACATTTGCTGCATGAACAGTTGAGCAGGAAAAATTGATCCTAATAAGAGCTTGTGAAATGCCTGTAGATGAGTTAGACCAATCAGAGGGCAATCAAACCACCATGTGTTGTGACATCACAACCACAACTTAGTGGCAGTTTGGCACACTACGTTCAAGAGTCAATCCTCAAGCCAGAAAAGGTGGATATCCTGGTCTTCTCAGCCAAAATAAATGAGGCCTCAGTCTCAATTTATAAAAAATTGCAATTTAAATCACAGTCGCAATATTAGTTGGAAAAACTGCAATTGGATAATTTCCCAAATCATTCAGCCCTACTCCCTTTTTCTCAGTCCATATCTTGGTAATTTCTTTGTTTATTGAAGAGTAGAGAGGCCTTGCAAATTAAAGCGAAGGTTGCACTCCAAGTTCTCAAAGTCCTCCCCTCCCTACAGTCATACAGGCCCTTCTCATACTACAACCAGATGAAGTTGAGGTCCAGTCTGTTTCATAAGATTATGAGAAGAACCTCATTTATCATGTCCAACAGGCACGATGATCAGCGGTGCTGAGTTTTTACCTCCATTAAGGGTGCAGGGACTGAACACTGGATAGATCTTCTCAGTGAAAGACTCACCAGTGAAAGAGTAGACGTGAGACCTGGCCTCAACATCATAGAAGGAGACCAGACCCTCCTCATAATCCACAAACACCCCCACCTTCTGGGGAGCCTGATCTAAGGAGAGAAGAACTGGGGGAGTGTCCAGAGCTTTATATCGAGTTTTGTTTCTCAGCCACACAGTCCAGTATCCATTCAAAGGACTCAGTGTAATCTCCCCCTTCCTGTTACTGGACTCTGCAGTCACTCCTAAATCCCACTTAGTCTTCCCACTGACCTGGACCTCATAGTAAAATCTCCCTGAGGAGAACCCCTCCTTTCCCAGCACAAAAACACAACGATCAAACCTCTCTGGTTTGTCAGAGACGTTCTGCCGTTTGTCTCCATGTCTCACTTGTTTCCCATCATCAGACAGGATAAGGTAGGGATTTGCGGTATCAGGATCCAGAGTCACATCAACTGAAAGAGGAAGAAATGATTTAAACCTGCATGGTCAATACATAGAGAGTAATAGAGAAATTAGTGATCAAGGAGAACCCACCCACCTGCATATTGCTGGACTCTCTTCAGTTCTGATTGGAAAAGAATAAGAGACTATTAGAACCTAAATTTGACAGTATACCAACAAAATCCACTCAATTTTCAGAAGCTCTCAGAGATCATACAGTACTTACTGATCTCAGGAACCTTCTCCATCTCCTTACTGAGCTCTTCCTGAAGCTGAGTCAGAGCTCTCCTCAGAGTCTCCACCCTCAGATGGGTGTTAATCCTGACGTCAGGCCAGTTCTTAGTGTGTGGACGGCTGCAGAGGGACGGGTAAACCTACAGTCCAGCAGGAGAGAGGAGAAACCCCTCAGCATGGGGAGTGCTGTCCTGTGATGGACTGCATTACTATGGAGAAACAGAGGGACTCTGACCTGTAGGAGGTGGAGGTGGTCCTCAGTGTGGGAGAGCTGCTCCAGCTCAGTGTCTCTCCTCTTTAGCTCAGTGATTTCCTGCTCCAGCTCTTTAATGAACTCTTCAGCCTGCCTCTCTGCTGCTTTCTGCTTCTCCTCCATCACCTCAAGCAGCTCCGCCTGGCTTCTCTCAATGCAGCGCAGCAGAGCTCTGAAGACCTCCTCACTGTCTGCTTTCTCCTTCTCTGAGCTTTTCTAACAGGAGATCATTAACCTACATTAATTTTTGTATTTTAATCAGTTGAAGTCTAATAAGTATATTACAACGGAATTAAAACTACAGAGCAGGTCACTGTTTATACTCACTTTACTGAGTTTTACAGAGTGTTTGATTTCCTCAATCTTCTTCAGTCGGTCCTGGATCATCTGCTGAACTTCTGCCTGTGTCTTCACCAGCTGAGTCTGTGACAATTAGACACATTATAAGAAACACAATCATTAATTTACAGTAATGAGATGGATACGTCTCTAAATGTCTCTCACCTTCTTCTCTCCACTCTCCTCCTCTATAGGAACAGTGCTGTGAGTCTTGTGGTCTGTCTCAGTGCAGAACTGACACACACTCGTCTGGTCGTCTCTACAGAACAGCTCCAGGGGTCTCTCATGTTTCTGGCAGATG